ATATATATATACATACATACATACATATATATATATATATATATATATATATATATATATATATATCTATATATATATATATATATGTCTTTCATTAAGAATTCCGCTAAATCTTTGTATTTCTTTACCAAATAAAAAATCGACGCTTGCCTTAAAAAATATAAATTGACCAATCATGATAGAAATAAGCGAAAATACATATCCACCAATGAAAATTTAAAATATACTTAATGAGTACCTTTTCTAGTAACTTTGACAACCAGTCTTTCCAAACAATCGAAAATTTGATCGAAACACACAATCAGTTATATATCACTATAATCCGTTTGTTACTGTTTCAAAATGTTAATTGGTGTGTTCATCGATCTTTCATATCACCACATTTCAAAGTGAGTGAATAATCACAATCAAAGTGAGAAAAATCAACCAAGAATTTCGAAGATTTAAAGGAATCAAATTTAATTCGAGTCTAGTTTTCGCTCGATTTCTAGAATATACTCATATATAGATTACTTTATAAATAAGTTTAATCAATATTCTTTTTTATTGTCAATATCAAATCTATAATAAGCTATTTATTTTGACACTAATATTTACTTTATGGTCAAAATAAGTAACTTTTATTTATAAATATGAATAAGTAACAAATGAAAACATATGTAGAAATTAAAAAAAATTACTTTTAATTTTAGAAAAATCTGTAGTGTCTCTAACTATTAAAATATGTAATTTACTTTTAGCTCTAATCAATACAAATTATCTAAAATAAAATTTACTTAATAATTATAATTAAGTTTTAGTCAAACATGCATTAAATAGAATATCTAAGTTGACAATAAAATATTCACATTTCATGAATGTCATGAAAGTAGTAACTAATGATTGTAGTGTTTTTAATGCAATTGGAATGATCGAACATTGAAGCTGGATTGGGATTCAAACTGGGTTAATGATAATATTTGCACCAAAATAGCACCAAAATCCTGCATTTTCTTCTTAGGTTTTTATATGGGCTGGGAACAGTGCTAGGTTGCCAAAATTCTACAATTTCCTCTTCAATTTTTATAGAGGAAATTAGGCCTTGTACAGCTTATGAGGAACAAAATTGAAAAATACACTTTAAAATAATTAATCAATTCAAAACGTAACTTATACATCTAAAATCTCAAGTCCAAAACGTAGAGAGAGAGAGAGAGAGAGAGAGAGAGAGAATCGATTGGTGTTTCTTCACTATTTCTCATTTTCATTACCATAACAGATAGAAAAGTGCAGTACATGATGGTCAGTGCCACCGTTGTTTCTAAGCCAGCAGCCTACCGAGCACATACCAAATCGTCTCTACACCTCCACCAACCAGTGGAACTTTCTCACAAGTCTATGGCAGGTCCAATGTCCGTCGCAATCCTTCGCGTCCGCATCAACCTCTGAGCGGATTGATCTCGAATCTTCTACCAACCATGAGAGAAATTTCATGGCAGATTCAAACTGTAGATACCGGATAAGTAACTTCTGCAGGTTCATCAAAACCTGCACACTAAGTGTTTGATGTATTGATTCATCTAATTCCATAAGTCAATATGGTTTGAAAGATTCTTCCAAAGTGATTCCTCAAGAATGTGTTGAATATGATTGTGTTTATGGAATTGTGGCTTCAAAAATATAAGATGCATTAATGGAATTTTTCTCTTTCTGTTGTTTAGGGTGGTATTATTGGCTCTATTATAGGCACGTGTCATTTTTTTAAAATATAAGGTAATTTGTAGAATTTTTTGGTATTTTTCTTAAAATAATGGTCACTTGCTCTTATGATGCCATATAATTTCACATCTTATAATATTTCTAAGGTTTTGATTTTGCTTGTGAAGTCCATATGACTTTGTTACTATTATGCCATAATTTAGCACCAAAACTCACTTTTACGGACTAAGCATTGATTTTTTTTTCTTTTATCTTTTTTAAGATAATCACTCCCAACTAATGTGCTTAATCGGTAAAAAGAATTCAGCTTGCAAAAGGGTAGCTAGATTCTAGGTTATCATCAGTTGCCTATAAGATTCTTTATAATTAGAAGATAAAAGTATATAGAGAGAGCAAGATCGCTTGAAAAAATAAAACCTTTATTTCGATTCTAATTTGATGTTCCACAAATGCAATTTATCCCACAGGACTGGAGCAAAGTGTTGGTCATGTGCGATGATTCACAGATTAGAATTCTTAGTGGGATGAATGTAATTGGGAGATACAAAGGTATGCAACTAGTTTTTTGGCCCTGGATTTCCTTGAGAAATAATATGATTTGGGCACCTGTTGAATTTTGTATTGGTCTTTCCAATTTTTCTAAATTAATACTCTCACTCTGTCTATAGGCCTAGGCAGTGCTGGGAACCACATTTTTGCTTCATTGACCTCAAATGGAAAGCACATTGTCTCACTGACTGAGGATTTTAATGTTTACATATGGAACTACAATCGTGAACCATGTT